AAGTGTCTGGAGAGAGGGAAGTCTGGGCATCTTTGCTTAGACTGCTGCCCCCGCGACCCGGTCCCGGATAAGCGGAGGAAAATGGGTGGATGGATGGATGGAACTTGAAATTAAATAAAGGGCCAATCATCTATTCTATGAGATCAACTGTGGCACAAGTGCAGCTTGCACAGTACTGTCAATAGCAACATACTGGTACCAACACCAAGGGAAATCAATACTGAATAACAAGGCCTCTGGTGAAATTCAGAGGGCACAGTAAAACAAAGGGATGGATAGCAGATTATTTTTGATATGAAACACCAATGGAGGGCACATCTCCTGTTGATTGGTTATTGACAAGCAGAGTAAGTGCTGGCTGATATGTAGCAGGATATTGCAGCCAACAGGACATCATTAGCACCATTGTTCAAGAATATGACACAGTGTAATTACTTCAACTTTATCTAGGTCACTAATTAAATCAAAAGCTGCCCCCGGTGCTAAATGACTCAATAATGCCAATATGATTATGAACATATGCACAGGAGACCTTTGGCCACCAAACTGGTGCAGACTCAGCCAGCTGATCTCTCCATTAAAATCCTGCTTAAGAGATGAAAAATGACTGCAGCGAACAACTATTCTAACATTTATCTGTGGTTTATCTTTACTCATGTCATAACACTTTTCATGTTTGTGATTTTGACGACATTTCACCCAGAGTGGCTCAGTTTTTAATGAGTCAAAGGTTCACAGTCTTGGTAAAAAAAAAAAAAAAAACAGTACTAACACTAGTACAATCCGCTCATTTAATCTGAAAGAAGCTGTGCAGGTTATTTCTATCTGGTTTTGTTTCATAACAAACCACTTCAAGCACTGCAAATCCAGCTAACCTGGGTGTGACAAAGTGGGTGTGGACACTCCACTTGTCCCTAAGATAAGCGATGTATATTTCTTAATGTCTTAACCTGTGTGTTAAATGTTTGATGGAATTTATTATGTGGGTATAGGATAAAGGAGGTGGCGGTTAATCACTTCCTCATTCTGTACGCTCTCTGATGTCGTCAAGGTACCCAGGACGTTTGTGAACACTCCTCTCTTCCTGTCCTTACCGTTCCTGTTGGTGTGCAGGTTATTTCTATCTGGTTTTGTTTCATAACAAACCACTTCAAGCACTGCAAATCCAGCTAACCTGGGTGTGACAAAGTGGGTGTGGACACTCCACTTGTCCCTAAGATAAGCGATGTATATTTCTTAATGTCTTAACCTGTGTGTTAAATGTTTGATGGAATTTATTATGTGGGTATAGGATAAAGGAGGTGGCGGTTAATCACTTCCTCATTCTGTACGCTCTCTGATGTCATCAAGGATACCCAGGACGTTTGTGAGCACTCCCCTCTTCCTTTCCTTACCGTTCCTGTTGACATTGCATGAACGTACCTTTATTGTGTAGTATAGATATGCAAGCTTGAATCTTTACCTCTTCTTCCAACCAGTCGTTGTACTGCACGATGCTCGCCATGGCGACATCAGCACCCTTCATGTAAAAAGTGATGTCTCCTGTAGACTCCTCCTAAATGAGAATCACAAAAACTCCGGCACTGATAAACGTACTCCTGAGAAAACATGTAAACTCCAGAATAAAAGGGTACATTTTCACAACAATCATCATTCAGTTTATGTACAGTTCAATAAATAATTCAAAACATTAATGGTGTGACACTAAATGGGCAAAAGTCATTTTAGTGATTAAAATTTAAACTGGAAAATTTGAGGACAGACTGAAATGGTCGCAAAACAGTCATATGACTCAACAACAGAGACCACACATACAGTAGTATCCACATATAATACTGTTATAAAGGTTCACACCCTGACGATGATGCCCATCCTTTTGCTCTCAGAGGTGAAGGGGAAGATCTGCAGGATGTAGAAGGAGAGAATCTGTCCTGAAGGAGTCTTCAGCTGCAGGGAAGTCAGGTCTCTGTTCACCAGGGTCAGGCCAACGCTCTCTGTCCACCGCACCAGCGCCACCTATGGAAAACATACAAATACAACAGGGTCACATGGGTGTAGATGTTAATTAAATTATAATATTTTGACCATTATAAATAAAAGTTAAATAGATGAGCGTTCAGCTGCACACGACTCATTCTCAATGGGTTCATTTTCAATTTGCCCACTCAAAGGTTGTTATTATACTCTGACCTACAAATTGGAACTTCCTGTTAATACCCCATCATTTCTCCTGCGCCCCCTTCAAGCGCACTAAAAAGGGTTGCCTATATTTACTTAACACACATCTGTGTGTCATTATCCTGCCGTGTGTGTGTTTGTATGCAGCTACATACACATACAAACCATGAGTTGAGGACCCTAAACCTAGTTCTTCAATCTATTTTATCAGCTCTACAGAAACTAATTCAAGCTTGGATACAAACTACGTGAATCATGTGTCACGACAGTAAGAGAAAAGACTGCTGTTGACAACTTTATGACAACAGACTGGTTTAAACAACCTGATCTATCATTTCAACTGAGTTTCTAGTGATCATGGAAATCACAGTGGCAGCACTGCCTGTAAAAACTAAAAGCAGCTACAGCATGTCAGGATGAGAACAGTCCTTTGACAGTCACATAAATGGGTGATTATAGGAGGACTGACAAGCTGGTGAGACGACACCTGTTCTGACCTCCGTGGCTGGCTCGCTTCTTCTCCTTAATAGAATAGAATAGACTTTGTCATTGCACAAAAGGAGCACAATGAAACTGTGTGTGTCCAGCAAACAACGGTGCGCTTCAGTGGACATAAAATAAAGTAAATTCAAAAGAGTAGAATCAAATAAGCACTAGAACATTAAGATGTGATAAAACACACACATTAGAAAGAGAGCACATTGTAATATAAATATAAATAGTCTTACATACTGACAGGCCTAACACCGAATGATTGTCGAGTATACTTTGTACTGAGACTCTACTAACTTAAACAGTAGAGAGTCCATGGTTGTGGTAGTGTGTGCTTAAGTATTTGTGTATGTGTTGGGGAAAATTGTCAATGATTGTTAGTGATCTGAATGGCCCAGGGAAAGAAACTATGTGTTAGTCTGGTGGTATGAGACTTGATTGACCTGAAGCGCCTTCCAGAAGGCAACAGGTCAAACAGGTGATGGGCGGCATGTGAGGGATCCCCTATGATGGCCTTAATTTTCCTGTGGCAGCGGGACCTAGTTATGTCAGCCAGGGAGGGCAGTGGGCTGCCAATTATTTTCTGGGTGGTGTTTATAGCCCTCTGCACAGCCCTTGTGTCCTCAGCTGTGGATGATGGCTCATTACATTAGAGAGGCTGAGGAGAGAGCCAGGGCCAAACAAACTACCACTAACAGAGGTAAGGTGGTCCAGATCTGACGCTACAGCCAGTGAGCCTGAGGAGAGAGCCATGAGCAGAGAGCTGGAAATAAAAAGACTGACAATGAATAAAGACTGTAGTAGAAAGGGAAGTGAGCGCTCCACCAACAATCACAGACCTCCACCTCTCTTCGTCTCTGAGGGAAAATTAAGTATTGATCAATCCAAGCAATGTAAGGTAACAGAGGGAGAGGCAAAAAGGAAAAGTGAGATTTATCTCTCGTCACCTTTTTATCTCCATTTTGATTGGTAGACCTGGCTAGGGGTACGACAGAATGTATTCCTGTCTTACAAAGGCCTTACAAAGCCTCGAATGTCACAAGTGATAAACATGCCAACAGTCTTTAACTGGGTGTGTATAGAAAAATTAACTATCAATATTCATTTTACCACTCTTTAGCAAGTACTGACTAACTTTACTGATCAAAACATCTTTCCTTATGTTCCCATTATTCAATTACCATTGACACTCTCTATTAATAAATTCTGTAGCATGATCACAAAGAGACACATACAGCTTGGTAGCACCCTCAGCCGTCTCTCTGTGTCACTCTTGGGTTACATAAATTCTCATGAAGCAAATACAGACAATTAAACAGCTTAACCACTACCACAGATTCATGACCTCTGTCTTTCTGTCCATGGCATTACATTGTGACAGAAGAAAGAAAGATCTTGGAAAACAAAACCATTTGTCAACAACTTACAAATGTGTAGCCTCCACACAGGTTCTGGTTTGAAAACAGCAATAGAGAGGCAATGTTTCAGTGCATGACTTTATCTTTTTCTTATCTGGATGCTAAAAACCATCCACTGTATCTCACATTTACCTCGTCTGGACTGGAGGCCTGGTAGGTGCGGTTGTCATCACTGAAGTCCTGGTCAGCTTCGGCAGACTCTGTCTCCCCATTGACGCCGACATGTGACTCATAGACAGGCGTCACATTGTGGCACAAGGCGATGGCTTTCACAGCCTCGTGGATGCGACTGCTGACACTCTTACGGACTTTTGGGCCAGATGCCTGGGTCTTCCTCGATACAGTGGACCCACTGGTGGTACAGCTGGAGGGCTGAGAGGCCACCTAGAATAGAAACAAATAGCGTGAGCACTGGTTCTACAGTACAAATGCTCAGTGACTTAAAAAAAACATGCTGTTTCAGTCCCATATATTTATAACTGAAGTCTGACCTGATTCAGTCAACTCAAACTATTTAAGGATCGCTGCAAGCACCAAATTTCATTATACCGTTGACTAATTTACATGAATTTTCAGTCTATTTCTGACAAAGGTATATATTTTTATTTTTTAATTCTAATGATTTATTTTTATTTTATGTTTTAAATGAAGATAACCGCAGTGCTGGAACAATCATTTATCGAAAATGTCAAACATTTGCCGTTTCATTTCTCTTTAATGTGAGGATTTGTTGCTTTTCTGTGATTTATATTATTGGGAATTGAATATATTAGAGTTTTGGACTGGCGGTCAAACAAAACAAGCAATCTGAAGATTGCTTGGGTTCTAGTAAATTTTAATGAATTATAAAAATAACTGACTTACTTATAAGTGACAACTGCTAGTTGTAAAAATGCTATTCAACCTGTTCTGTATACAAATGTTAAGATTAAAATAAAATCTTTATATGCTCCTTGAGTGATGCTCTGTCAATAACCAACCTCTGCCTTTACATACACTTCAAACTAAAGTATCCTAGTAAAAAACAGCAACAAAAACTAAACCAGTCAGACAAAGAAATTGCTGCCTTCCTTCGGTTTCGGCTGTGCACTGCTAAAAAGACTAGTCATTTTTCATCAACTGAGATTACACATAAGGGTGTGGGGCAGATGGTTTCAGAGTTGACCAGCTGTTCAGAGCTGGCTGAGAGCGAACAATATCCTTCTGTCAAGAGTACAGCTAGATCTGAGCCACCCAGTGAGGAAAACACTTGCTTACAGTACAGGGAGTCACTCAGGGACATCACATGATGAATGAACAATATGGGCTTCTTTCCTGGAGAACATATCCTTAGCTAAATATAAATATTGATTAAACTGATCTACAGGGAGAGGTGGGTAAAAGCAGGAAAATGGAATGAAAAATGGTAGATGCAGTATTTTATTGCGTCTGCTCCCATAAAAATGTTCATACTGTATTGTGGCACGTTTGCTTTACTTTGGTTCTGCCCTGTGTCACATACTGGAGCATCTAGATTTTAATGAATGTTATTTAATTGGAGATTCATGACTGTATTGGTAAAAAGTGTGAAAAAGCCTGATACTCATCAAAATGACCTTAAACTCTACAACACAACTTCCAGGTGGTTGCCTTTACAGTGAGGGTCTTAGGTGAAAATCCTCATAATATATTACTGAACTGGTCAGTCAGTGTAGGAAAATTCAAACTGAAGGGGCTTAAACAGGTCTCAAAGGCATCATGCATTCTCACATTCACACACATGCCTGTCTGTATTACCTTTTAGACTGGATAGCGAGTCTTACCTGTGCATATGATTGGATTATGTGGTTCTGAATCTCATCCATGGTGTCAGTGCCGTAGGACACTGTTCCCAGGTGCAGCCGCTTGAAGATCATTTCATTCTGTGTCAGAGTGCCTGCAGGTCACAAGACATTTTTAGAGATTAGAAACCAACAAATCATTAAAAAAAAAAAACACTCTCTACATGACCCCTGGATTACTGTTTTTCACTATATGACTGCTCTTATTTGCGTAATGGCACTTGCAGCATAATTTTTCATACCCATCAAAAGTATAGCCTGACCAGTACTGACAGACCTTTTAACAAATATGATAAAGATTCAGTATATCATCTAATAGCCCTTACAGTTTTTTAAGAATTGTGAACAAGACATATACCAAGAAGCCTCTGCTGGACAAACTCTATAACTCAAACCTTTTTGGAGAATTTCCTGTCACCTACCATCTGACATACACACAGACATCAATATCTATAATAAGGTAATACTGGCTTGTTGGTTTTATTGGTCTACACATCAAAATAAAAATCACATTGCCACTACTTCATAGCAAAAATAAAAGATACTTCAATATCTTGAAAACACAAGGACACATATGCCCCCACAGAAAGCGCAGCGTTGTCCTCAGAAACCGCTAATGCCTATAAAGCATCGTGAGACCTGCAGGGTGGTGCGACTGCCTGCTCTCTGACCTAATCTCATTACCAGTATGGACTGCATGTCCTCCCTAACTAACAGACAGGACACAACATGGCAAACAAAAAGCCTAAGTGAATGTTGAGCCCGAAGATAAAAGTTTGAAAACAAGGGCAGCGGTCTTATTTAATGGATGTTGGTTGCCAGAATGTGTGCTGATAGAGCGTAAAGCTGATTAGAGGGCATCTAACTTTCAAAAACATTAGGCCACAGAGTTAACCAATTCTAATGGATTGATTACGTGTTTTTCTTTCCATGTGCTTTAACTATCAACCTGGATAAATAGGCCCTGAAGCCAATCCATTCCTACCTACATTAGCTGGGTAAGACAAAGAAACATGTTAGGACCACCACAGGGGTTTATCACACTGACACAGTGCATAGAATTAGTAAAGAACAGCTATTTGTTATTAGGGAATCAGGTTATGATACTGAAATGAGAGAAGCTAAAGGAGGCTCTATAGCACCAGAAAAATCTGAGGATATGTGCTGTTTTCTATAACTCAGTTGATAAGATGATCAAATTGTGGCTTAACTGCAACGTGAAGCAATGACGAAGCAGCATATGAGGACTTGCATTCGACTGACTTGGACTCCTACCTGTCTTGTCTGTCAGCAGATAGACCAGCCGGCCCAGTTCTTCAGGGATGGTGCTGGTTCTCACAACAGTGCCAGGGATGCTTTCGTCTTTCATGATCATCCAGCCATAGGCTGCCTTACCCATGTCCAGATTCACACGCAAGCTATATGAGGAAAAAGCAAAGTTGTAATCCATTATAACACAAAATAATTTGACAAAAAAAGCTAATGAAACCTGTGAGTCAAAGCAGGGATGGTAGCTTTTCAAATTCATTTTCAAATGTATTCGTTTCCATTTTAAGTCCACAAATTCCATGCAAAACAAAACAAAATATGTCACTGCCCAGACTTTTTTCTTTTGGTTGTGGTCGCGGGGCCACAAATAACAAAAACCTCCACTTGAAAAAACAAAGAATTACAGAGCACAGTGAAGCACCTGATGGGGATGATGTAAGAAAAAAGCACGACGAATCGGAATAGGTTGCGGTACCAGGGACCCACAAATCCCTGCAGTGCTACCATGACGACAGACAGAACCAGCTGGGCCAGGAACAGGGCCTTGTTCAGCTCCAGGTCCAACAGACCAACCTAAGGGGGCAAAGACGTCACAGATCAAAACAAGAATCTGCTGCAAAATAACTAACTGTGCTAACTATTTCTAGTTAAATCTGATGTGTGTGTACATTGATGTTTACTCCACTGCAGCCCAAGGTTCCATTGTTTCCATTGAAAGGCACTGACACAGGACAAGTCCAGGTAAACATGTTACTCCTCTTCTAACTACTTATACTAGAAAAAACTCTGAGGCGTTACCATCTGCTCCCAGAACCTTACAATATGCTGCAACAAAGCCAACAAAAGACATTTTTAGGTGCAAGCTTTTATCATGCAAACTGTGTGCATGGCATAAACAAGTTTACTGGTGGCACTATTTTGTGGTACATTACAAACTGTGTTATTGTCATCATGAAGTAAACAAACAATAGTTTGTGGAAGGCAATAAAAATGGGAAAGGTTCCTATATAGAGATGGCTCTCTAAAAAAAAAAAAAAAAAGAGGTCAGAGTTGTTTTTTATTTTTCAAGTGTATCTTCCAGCCAATAGAGCATGTGGGAAAAAGATGTCAAATAAAGAAGTGTCCTTCCCCTTTCTGGCAGAGCTCACAGAAAAACCCCTGTACACAGAGGGCTTTTATCTGACGCACCACGCTTACAAAAACAGCAGAACATAACATCTCTCCTCCCTCAAATAAAGAAAGTGCTCTGAAAAGGAGGGGAGGGGGGCAAGCACGTATAAAAAGCAGCAAAATTCCTCCACTGCATAAACCCCCACCAAGGCTATTCCCCTGAGTACTGGGAAAGCTGGGAGACCAGTGTGACTGATTTATCAGTTGCTGTTCAAGTCCCAGTAACAGAGTGTGGAGAAGAGAAGGGCAGGGGCAGTGAGAGGGTGGTATCGCCCCACCCCAGAGCCTCACTACATGGTTCATGGTTGAGCTCTTGAGAAAAATAGGGGGTCTGGGTGGATTAAAATGAAGAAAAATTAAGACAGAGAGCACAGTGCATGCCTGAAAAGCGAAGGATCCCCTTCTGCTTGAACAATGGCTAGTCTAAATTTTCCAAGCCTTGTCGGGGATCAGATGAAGTCGTTATTCATTCAGTCAAGGGGGGAAAAAGGACTCAATTACCTCAACCTAAAGATGCTATCAATGAATAAAAGTGCATATTTTACCCCATTCATCTCTGAGCCATTAAAAGCAAAAGGAATGATTCGATCTGCCTGTGTGGCTTGTATTTTAGTATGTGTGTGAAATCTGATGAAGAATTGCAGCCCTGGGACTTGAATATTCATTGAGTTTGAACCAAAGAACATCAGCAGTTCAGTAAGTAGTGTATTGTTTAGTTCTTGTGACTGGCACATCAAGGATGCAAAGGAAAAACTGAAATTGATTTTTGAGTTCTTAGTAAACAACCTTAAGCTTCATAGTTTGAGAGACATGTGGAGAGAGCAGAGTATTGAGACTTGGATATGTACATCAAACAAGCAATCTTTATTGAAGAGCAAGCTCTTGTCAAATGACATTGTTCTGTCTCTTTACTCAGACAGAGGTCTGTCTAACAATACTGAGACAAAGAGTGAATCTATGTCTGATGCCCTGTCAGATTGATCAAGTGCCGGCATTGTCCTGTTTGGTGTCACAACAGATTATATGAGGCCAAAACGTTCTTGCGACTTTAGCCGCACTGTATCGACTTTCTCACCCAATCTCCAGTCTCCATATTGGCACTTCTGACATCATCTCCTTGAAATATTGAATTCCTCTCAGTTGTCGAGCTTACACAAAACACTGGCCCCCGCCATTTGACCGGCCACATCAGCGTTCTTAATAGAAGACAATGATGTCAAAACTGTGCTGCAGCAGGAAGGGGCTCTGCTGTGCCACAGAGCTGCAGGCGACAACTTTGACTGTCAAAGTTACTGCATGGCAGGTGCGCCATAACCCTGCCTCTGAGATCCTGCTGATGCCCGTCTCTATCAGCTGACCTGTGTCTATCTAGCACAACCATCTTCCAGGTAAAATCTTATATTTAGAATCAACTTTCATTAATCTTCTCAATCTGGAGACAAAACGCTCGATGGGGATTCTACGGGATTAACTTTCTGCTGAAAATGTCATTTAAATCCTCTGCTAGTTCATTTCCCTTTTGGTTAATTAGCAGCAGGCACCGACCTTTTGCACTGACAGGTCCAACTTTATCTAGAAAGTCAAGGTTAAAAAGAAAACACCTCACCAAAGTGATTGATTAGTGATTAGGAGCATGAGGGGAACTTGGGAAAGATGTTACTATGTGTGAGGTGTTTCACCCTGTGTGGCTTTCACCAGACACTTTACAGGCCTTTACTATTTTTAACATTTGCTTTCAGAAATGTGTGAACCATATCTGTAATTGTTAGATTTGCACAGGATGTCAAACCAAGATATCCTGTAAGTTGGAGAAAACAAGACACAAGCCATCTGAAGATGTCATCTTAACTGGCAGGCTAATAGCGCTAAAATTCTGGCCACAAATGTGTGTTTGGTGATTTACAAATGCAGTCAAGATTACAACTGTGTAAAAACCAACTTGTGTATGTCCCATAAAGGCCACAAATGTGTGTTCATCAATCTATAAATAAAATCAAAATTTATAAATGAGTAATATGTGCTAACAGCACTGCTGTCTTAGTAACCTACTAAACAAAGTTAAATCTAATGTTGGTATGTAGTAGGTTACCAAGTTAACACTGCTGTAACCACATAGGCTACCCTAAGGTACGGTAAGGTAAGGTAAGGTGCCCTATAGGAATATTTCATGCTGAAATATACATTTAATTAAAGTACAATCAAGTACAATCAAGAGATTATGAGTAATTTGATCTCTTTTGAAAAAAGCCTTAAAAGGTCAAATGTCTGAGCTTTCCACCTGTCCTTAAACGCACCATGCATTTGTGGATCTGAGAACGGGAAAATACTCTCAAAGCCGTGCACACAAGCGTAACATGATCCGTGTGAGTCTATCGATCTGTGCACATGCATCTAACAATCTGTAAATACATTTTAAAGAACTGCACACAGAAAATCATTTTTATACATTTGCAAATCTGGATTTTATTTGTAGATTGCCAAACACACATTTAGTTGTGGCTAGTTATTAGGGGCTTGTACCCCCATAGCTTCATCAACAGAAGTAATAACAGTGTAAATAATACTGTATTATCATGACATCCTTTCCTAATCCTATTATTTGTAATAAAAACCAAAACAATTTAAACCATGTGCTGCCAAACAAATCACATAACTTGTCAACTTTCCTGTTGAAATACAAAAGCTAAAGCATATTCACCTTGTTCTTGGCGTAGGATGTGTTCAGTACACTCCTGGTCTCTTTGCCTGTGTAAATCACCACCCCTATCACCGTGCCTGCCAAGAGGAGAGACAAGGAAAGTTAATGCTGCTCATTAACTGAACCTCACCCCCATCATCTCTCTCTCTCGCTCACACACACACACACACACACACACCCAAACATACATGCATATACTCATCTTGGACAAGATGAAGTGCATGTGAGGAAACACAATAAGACTGAGCTGAGGCAGTTGGGTCTCATTGCCAGTCAAGCCAGCAGACACGAGTTTAATATGCTTAGACTCTGAGGGCCTTCAGCCACCCTATTGAAGCTCATAAAACCTGATCAATACGCTGCCATCTTTATTTGCCAATTCATTATGGTGGCCTTATTACAAAAGATTAATGAGTCATTAATATTAAATGAGCTTAATGGAGGAGCAAAGACACTAATAAACCTAAATGCTGCCCCTGAAATCCCCAAACTATAAAAATGGCAACACAGTTAAAAATGGGGACAAAACAACATGAGGAAAATGAAGAAAAGAGAAAAGCGAACAATTGTTACAGGGCCAGGAGAAAAATGATGAATTTCTCTTGTTGACTTCTAACTTCAGAAATATTGAATGATGTGACAAATGGTGTGTGGCTCAGCATGCAGAGAGGCTTCAATTTGAATATGCCAGCAAGTAATTCTCTTGTCACAGCTGGATTGGCCCATAGTGATCTGGGCCAGTTAATGTGCCCAGAACACCACCAGAGAGAGAGTAAAGTGTCTGCCAAGGAGAGGCGTGTGAGGGATGACAACATACAACAGGAAGAGTGATGTAAGAGGTCTAACTTGGGCTTTTTATGCCAGTGTATCTGTTTGCTCTTCTGGTCCAAGGTCAGGCCAGAGGGGAGAGCAACACCACAAATCAATGGTGTGGCCATCACAGGGAGCGTCACAAACACTCTCAACTGACACAACCGTTTCAATGGAGAATCGCTTAGGTGGAGCAAGGGAGGATTATTAACTGTGTGTTTCTCAGAGTTCTTCAAACAAGTACATAGCAGTACCAAATCAAACTACTGTCATGACTCCTGTGCTCAGTACTTGATTACAAGACCATGCAGAATCACAATGCTGGTCACTGCTTTTGTTTCTATTGAAATGCTCCACAAGTTTAAAATGAATTTTCTAAAATCTCAGTCTCATTCAAATAGAATCTGAAATGGTGCATGTTTCCATCAACTCCATTTATGTGTATATTCTAAAGACACACACTTCCTGTGCTGTGTGCCACTATGGTGGGTGGAGGGGGGTGACTTTCAACAAGGGGCCCGATCTGGACTTGAACCAGGGTCAGTGAGGTTACACACCCTCTCAACACTCACACTTTTTTTTTTATTAGGCTCCTTTTTAGGCAGAGGGGTGGCATGTAATGGTGAGTGCATAATGACAGGAACGCTCTGTGTACAATTATACAAGCACACAGACACAGCTACATCGCTGCAACATCTGGAAAAATCTTATCTCATGTTTCAAGATAAGATGGGCTTGAAATAAGAGATGGCATTCCCTTACCCGATGCAACGACTGTGCTGGCCCAAAGAGTGTTATCAATACTCAGACTCTCATGGATCTGTGGGTCCGTGTCCTCCTATAGTAGAAATACAAATATATTTAACTTATTTAAGTTCACCTGTTGGTTTGGCCATGACAGTTTAGCAGTAAAGCATTGCAGCATCATTTCACACCTTATCTTTATAATAAAAATGTCAACATTGCTCTGACACTCTCCAACACTATAGCCAATTAGTCAAAATGCAGTGTATGTAAGTAGCTACAAATTCATTAATGTCAGATTTGTTAACCTTAAGGCACTACATTCGAAATAACAATGTACGTAGGCAGTTGCAGATTCACTTCAGAATGACATAAATATAATTAATACACAAATGCTACAGGTTTGCTATATAATCTAGTATTTTCTGTGGTTGTAAATGTGTTAATGCGTTGGTTTCAGAGACCGTGTTCTTTATTGGAACCTTCATGTACAGAAAAGAAACTACACAAGCCCCCAGTGGCAGAGAAGAGATACTTGCTTGAAAGAAATATCCTAACATTGTGAATTTATTTCTGCAATTATCCAGCTCCTAATTAGTATTGGTCAGTGTGGCTGTGAAGTGGAAAAGGACAAAAACAGGACCATGAAGTCATGAATTTTTGCTTTTAGGCAGTGCAACACTACCAGTGCAATTAAACAATATTTTCCTTCAAAACGCAAAGAAAACTGCAGCTCAAACAAATTTTAGATTTCACTTTTTGACTGGATTTAATTTTGAGGGATTAACATTATTTATTATAAAAGCAAATTTACCACAGAGCTGCTCTGTGCTTCAGTTACACCGGTTGATTAGGTACCATCAAGAGGGATTTTTTTAGCGATGGACTTGTTTGTATTTATAGTGATGTCTCAAAAATAATATAGACAGTTACCTAATGTTAACTTTTGCAGTTGTGCGGGTTTTATTTGAAGACCAAAAGTTTCAGCTGTGTGGTAGTTACTTTAAAACCATTTTTAAAACTAACTTTCAGACAAAACAGTAAAATTGTACAATGAAGAATTTGCCATTTTATTCAGCATTTTAGGAACAAGACAGTCGGGGAAAATAAAATGTCTAAAAATACAAATTTTAGCTGGAAAAAAAACTGAGGTAAACGGGCACAGCTGAGACTGTATGCAGCCTGACCAGAACGAACGCCATTAATTTTCGTAAGCACCTGACACAGCTGTGCCGACTGTAGCAATTCAGTAGTCCCTTTATCAATACTTTCATTAAATTTGGCATGACGATAGAGGCTGCTTTTAAGAACCAGCATAGTGAGTGCACATAGAGGAGATTTCGGTGATAAATAAGCCCCTGGAGAGCCTCCTATTTCACCCTCCTCCTCTTCCTTTACCCTTCTACCCTTAAATAAAGACAAATGCTGAAAATGGCTAGAGTCAGGAGTGCAGAGTCAAGGCTCCAGTTTCAGCTCAAATAGCCTGCCTGATATGATAATTATGATACCTAAGCACCCACATCCTGTCAATCCACTCAAAAATGGGAAGAGGTGCATGAAAAATAAATGGCAGGCTACAGAATGCTTGACCGCTCTGACATTGGCATCATACTACAGTTTTCATAACTGCAGAGGCTCTTAATAAAGACCACAGAAACAAAGCCACCATATCCAGCTCAAGAAAAAAAAGGAAAAAGGAAACCCTCATAAATAGGTAAGTTCATTTGCTGCGGATCTGTGGGAACCCATTTTTTTCCCATCCCGCTCAGACTGAAAGCACACGCTATGCAAAGGAAGGCCGCGGAGGATGAATGAGCGGAGGAAGTGCTCGCTCACTAAGCCTGGTGTGTGGCCAAGAGTGAAGACGGACCACAAAGCCTCCCTTTGTACTGGAGCTCTCCTCTCTGTGGGGGCTGCGCTAATCTGCTATTAATAAAGAAAAAAAAAAATCACTCCGCAACAAGCAAGATGGGATGGATGGAGCTGGAGTTGCGAAAACCTGCCTGTGATGTGAGAGGCATGCCTGCTGGAGATAACAAGAGGCCAGGATGGACACACAGGCTCTCATTGTTGCCACTTGTCGACACATTACAGTGATACACATCTTCTGTGTCAATCCAGTTTCTATAGAAAAATCTGCATGTGTTTAAGATTTGTGTTCCAGGTCATAAATATGTTAGCGAGTTACTGTACCCTTGTGAAGTTCCCCTCGAAGCTGTGGATGTCCAGCTGAGGCTTCTGGGCATAGACATAAGCGCTGATGGAGAAGAGGTCCTGAAACAAGAGAGGAGATTAAAGTCCTGAGTCCTGATAAATTATTGTAAACTGGGTTATGTTTGCAGTGCATGTATGCTCATTCTGCTGCTGTAATCATTTTAAACCACTTCAGATGAACGTGAGCCACATGCCCAAAATTAGAGGTGTCATTAAAATTAATATAATTTGATGAAATAATTTTAACCCAAGGTCCACTTAATATCAAAGAACTGTCTCAACAACAAATGGACAAAACAATCTAGTAAGTGGACCTTAAGTGGAGTTAAGAATTTTCAATTGATCGGAATCTAACTGGACCTAAGTACCATCTTCTTTTAATATTAATCATAGGCAGTTTGATTTATTTTTAATCATGAAATAAATCATAATGTTATTATAAGTAAAAAATTGATATGACAAACATGCTGCAGTTTGGAATCTTAACCAAAAAAAACAACTTAAAGACAGCACAATAACAACGAACCACCTGCCCTCAATCATCTGTTTCTCTCAGTCATCCTAACAGGAAGACTGTAACCTTTGACCTGTCAGGCACACAGCACCCCCACACTGGGAAAAAAATTGATAGTAATTATTAAATTATTCAGGCAGGCAGCTTCTGCAGTGGCCAGCCAGTCCTCAGTCATCCTCAGAAAGTGTTCTCTTGGTGAAAATGTGGGCAGAGTGGTGAACATGGAGCATGGAAGATTATTTTACAGAAACCCCAGTGGAGAGTAGTGTTGCTCCAGCATTTTACACGCTCAGAAGAATGACGTATTCAGTGATAGTAATGCAGCTGATGAACATACTGTGGATGACCCTGATGAAGACCACTAAATAAAACCCTTCTCCCTTCTGCTGAAACTCTTTTCATCCTTTCTCTAGTATAAAAATGAGGGACAACAAGGTAACAAAGTAAATACTGGATGGACCAAAGACGACTCCTGCTATTGTCGGGTTTCTTGAAACTCAATCTGGACGCCGCAGGTCTTTCATCAAATGACTTACTGAAACTTTAATTCTCTGATCACATTAAGTGGTGATAAAAAAGCCATGAACACAACTTAAATCTGAAAGTGTTGAGTATCCCCTACAGTTAAAAGGAAGCTGCTGCCAGGACCAGTTTGTTCCTGTCATCAGTGTCGTCAGGTCTCCATCACAGCACAGACAACTTCATTTAATGAGCAATGCTTTTAGTGATAACAGCACACCCACTGACTTACTCAGTTCATCTGTTAGAGATTCACTATACTGTAATGTATCCATACCCCCACTGCTGGCAGTCGTTGTGTGCAGCCAACAGCAACTTTCAGTTTCCAGTCAGTTTCTCCGTCCAGCTGATCTGTTCTGATGAAACATGCACCTGAAAAAAAGGACACAAATGGGGTGAATACTTGTGTCTGTTATGTTCACACTTCTCTCTTACACTGAAAGTAAAGCCCTACTGCCACCATACAATGAGCGGTGTGTTTATGAAGCTACACTCCCTATGGATGGGTCTAAGAAAGGTTTTTTTGCAGGATCACAGTGAAATCAGGCTATAAACTTGCAATTCTTGAAACCCTGGGAAATTGACTACAATTTAAAGCAAATTCTAAAGGTTTAGCCAACAAATATGAGACTGGCTGAAAGATTAAATAAGGTTAAATAAAACATATAGTGTTTAAATGCAACACATCTGTGAGATATTGTATGTGTAAAAAAAATGTCACTATAATAAACTAGCACTTTAATACAGAGTGTTTAGCACAACACAATGTCTGCGGTGGGTGTGGACACAATGCAAAGTCCGTTAAATGTTGGGCCATGACCTGCATTGATCTGAGGTAATATTACATATGAAACTGATGGATGAGAACAACTATTTGACAGAGGGGGTAAAGGGCAGCTGTAAACCATCCCTCGGGGGTTAACTAGGATGACAAACATTCATGCAGTGAGGATGATTCATGCTTTCCTTCTGCTGCAATGACAGGTCCGCTCTTCATGTAACACTACTGAGATATATGTGTGTGAGCATGTGAAAGACAAAGTATATGAGACTGAACATTGGAAAGAGAAACAGTGTTTGTGTGTGTGTTAGAAGTATAAAGTCATCAACAACTGTCTACCAAGCATATTGACATTTCAAAGATTGATGGAAATGATGTCATCAGTACATTTCCTCCAGATGCCCCTCAGAAAAAAAAAAAAAAAAAATCCAGCTCATTGATTAATTAGAATTTGCATCATCTGTCACCTGAACAATGTGACATAAATCATATCAATCACAGGCTGCCTTGATCATCTGAGCTCCTCCCGGTGGGAAAAGTCACATTTCTCACCCCGATGATCTTGACACAGTTTGTTTAAATGCCACAGGTGTACAGCAGCATTCTGTCTGTTTTCACATACAGTTTTTGGATTAGCACTACATCCAATGGAAACATTTACAACTGTTTATTAAGATATTTTTCTCCCTATTAAAATCTTTTTTTAATCCATGAGTTCTGCTGAGCATCACACTGATACAGTTACCCCACCACTTTGCCTGCTCACCAGTTTTCTCTGACGTTCTGAGAAATATCATGTCTGCAGGAATCCTTTGATTCTACAAAAGGAAAGGAAACAAAGAGGAGGCGGGTTATTGAACACTGTGGCAAAAGCCCTTTGAATCCTCCTGAATAATTAAACAAGGTTAATACCTTGACCAGAGAGTGAAGGAGAAACAGTTTTTAAACACTCAGTAATGGAAAATTAACTTGTCCACTTTCCAGAAGGAGCTAGATTTCTTGTTGGCTGAGCAGATGAGTGGGAGTTTTATAGGAGTGCATTTGAGAAGTTGGTTTACCATAACTTTAATTAACACTGTGAACTGCCATTTAAAATCCAGTTATGCTATTCTTTATACTTTAAAACAGCTTGTAAACAAATCAAAATGTCACCTTAAAATATACTACTTCTTCATCTGGAGCTTGGGAGAATGTGTACTAATACATAAAACCTTTTTTTGTGCAGAGTAACTCACATTAGAACAGGTGAAGTGTGGTCACAGCATACTTTAATAATACCAAAGTAGAGAGGAGTTGAAGTTTAAGAATGACTCTGATTCAGATTTATAAAAAAATGCTGCTTTTCAATTATTTTTTTATGGCTAAGACCAGGTTAGGGTGAAATGTAAATTCTAAACTAAACTAAAAAGAAATTCTGGCCAATGCCCAGAACTGATGGTGTAAAATCTGTGCATGCAAACACATCTACAGAGAGGGAGGAGAAAGTTTTACCTTCTCAACAATGATCAGATCTCCAACTTGTATATCTGAACTCTTCACTTGTATTTTACCTAAAGAAAAAGAAGTATAGGTGGACTTGTATTTTACCTAAAGAAAAAGAAGCATAGGTGGGGAAAAAAAAACACATTCACAAATGAACTTCTCATTAAAATTACACCTTCATTTTTAAACAGCAATGAAAAAATATGCAAGTATTGACTTGTGACCCAAGAAAACCACACTGACCACATCCCGTTTTCTGTTACTCCTCTTCTTTTTCTCTCACCTTTTAACAAACTGATTAGCTCCAACGTGATAAAATTTCTTGTTTTCACCTCTGGTCTGAGGCACAGACAAAAACAATGGCGCAGCTCCTAATTATATTGTTTCAGTATCTGCTACAGACCCACTTTTGCTTCTGCCGTGCTCACAATCACACTGTGACTGTGCACATGCACCTTAATGCACAAGTACCCATTGGGTATGAAAGTTACAGTGCATTCTCACCCATATTCACAGATATTACACAGGGGGATTTTACTACACATTCAAAAAGAGATCTTAGATCACACAGTCTTGAGAAATAAAGAAAAAAAAAATCTATGCAATTAAAGCAAGAACAATGGCTTCTATTATAGGAGTAGAGCCAGAGGAGTGCTGTGTCGAGCTCGACTATACGCTGGAATATCCCTTATCATAATGTCAGCAAACAGTTACAGACAGGTGGTGCAGAGTGGACAGATATGCTTCCGTCCCCTCACTAACCTCTCATGGTGAGTTTGCTGTAGAGTTGAGAGTTCATCTCCTTGTCCCGTTGGTAGCGTCGCACTTCATCCACAGCCTCTCGCATCATTGTGACAGCTACCACAAAACCCTGAGTAACAATTTGAGCGTATTTTAAAAGTAGATCTATCACATCATGGTCCGTTAGAAAGCTTCATTTATAATCTATACACATATACAGTATTGTCTTTGTTAAATGTTCTTAATTATTAAACAGGAAATTCTCATTGAAAACATTTGATTTGATTTGATTTATTCTTTCAAGCATGTAGAAACAGTTGATATGACAACACACATAATTTTACACATAATCCAATATCAATTTGCTTATACCTAGTACATGCTTGAATGGAGTAGGAAGAAGTTAGACTTATCCAGTCCTACCCCATGAGGTAAGACATTCTGAACTTTCTGTAGGCAACTTTTCAAATGAATCCAGCACTGAATAAAAACTGTGGTGCGTTTACCAGAGGTGCCCAGTACGTGTACAAATATCCGATTTTCAGCGATGGCACAAACTGGGAACAGGCCACCACCAGAAAGTATAGATTGAGGAAGAACTTGAACTGCTGGTAGAGAACCTGAGAGGGGAGCAGAAGACAAGACGAGGTGAGTGAACATGTCAGCAAGGTCAACCAAAGATGACGACAGCTGCCGAAGATGATAAAAGAGGATGCAACAACAACAAAGCAGATAGGATGGATTACTGTGCATGTTCCGAGGTGGAATCAGATAAGTGTTATACTGTTCACGTCACATTAACCCAGTGGAAACTGACACTTCAAATGGCATTCGGGGTACGGATTTCACTAGCAGGGTGGCTTGGTACAATGTTATTTGGTGGAGATGCTTTGCAGAATAAACATTCAGTACATGAAAAACAGGACTGATAACCACTGTCATGAATGAAGAAGAAGAGGAGCAGGCCACCTTTCTTACCCCCACATACCAAAGTGTGACTTGCTGAGGTTCTTCGCTAATGGGCTATCCATCAGCAGGGAGACCTTAGTATTCTATTCATCTAAGGTCAAATTTTGAATAATGTTTGCAATAATGAGAGCCTAGCACCTAGTCACAGATTATCAGAGACAATGGGATCAATGGACAATGCTCTACAGTTAATGAGCCCCCTGACCTTTAGGGAAAAATGCACACTGCTAAACTCAATTTGTGTGTATTTAATAATTCAAAGTGGAGGGAGAAAAACAGAGCTGTTTGGTTCACTATCGATGAGAATATCTACGTCTTTAATAGACAGTTGACATTTTATGGCCTGGACCAAAGGCGACCCTCTTAATCATGGAACCATTTGCTTCTTAATAAGTAACTCTGATGGATCTCTAATGTCCCCTACAGTGTGCAGCCTTAACTTAATGACAGAAGGGTTAACAGTTAACTACGCTTTACATACTGTTAATCTGTGAAAAGAGCAGCATCTTTTAACTGCAGGTATGAATTGCCACTGTGGGGAGTGTAAAAGTTAGAGTGGGAGCATGGACAACCATCTGGGTTGGGTTTGGAGCAAAGATCAGGGCTCAGAATGTGAATTTTAGGACATATACAGTTGTTAACTTAACCACAGGCTTCAGGTTTGTGCTGCTCTCTGGAAACTCACCCCAGGCACAAAGGTGAAGATGTTGTACTTCTGGTTTTTGATGGCATTTTTGGGGTACTTCTCCTCACATTTCTCTGGGTGGCCAAGCCAAACTGTCCTGGCCTTCAGCTCCTTCTTCCTTCGACATATATGGGCCAGGCAGTCACAGCAGCTGAGAAACAAAGGTAAAAATACAATTTTGTACAAAAATCAATAACACAATTCTATGACAAGAGGTCACAAGAAGGTGTTGTGAGATGACAGGTTAGTAATCAGAATGGAAAACATGTGTGCTAAGTTATTTTACTTTTAGGCTTTTCTTTCATCTTTGCCATTTTACTACAAAAGTGAAGCGTGCGAACCATCAGCTCAGTTGTGACAAAGCGTATGTACTACTTGTATTACAAGACCTCGTTTGTATATTGAATAAACATTTTTTGCTCGTCTTGCAAAACACTCACAAACCAGGTTACTCACAATCCAAGGTTCCACTGTAATTATATTTTCAGAATCATAACCAAGGGTTTTGAATTAGTGCTGGTTGTTTGTTTAGGACCCCCCCCCAGCTCATTTGTAACATTTATGGTAGTGAGAAAATAATGACCCACTACTAAATCAATATCAAGACTTCATAATTTAGCAGCCCCTTTTCTCAGCTGTTAAGTCACCTGTGACCACTGAGCTCCACAGCTGTGCCCTACTACATCCTACAGCACTGATGTTATTTATATCCTTGTTAATTGGATCTTCAAGGCTTCTTTTGACACAATTTCAGAAACAAGTCCTTTGCTTCTAGCACTCTGATCTGAAAAGGCATGTCCCCAAGAGGGAATTCCCTTGATGATGCTGTGGGAGACTGAGGTGAATAAGCTGGCTAACCTGAGGAACCAGACCATGTTGCATGTATGCAAGCACTGTGGCAGAAGACGATGCACAGTAGTCCTCGGGTCCCTGTTAGTTGTACCTCATGCTGAATATTTCTAACTGCGAAAGCAACAATCATTTCCTACAGCATGTATCTACTTTATAAATATTATCAGAACTCTAAGAGATTACAAAGGATTGTAGACTGTCATTTACTTTTTCAAAAGTATTTGATTTTCTGTCAACATGCTAATAACTACAACTGGGCTTATCAAGCATATCTGATATCCAAGGCAAACAGCAGTATAGAGTGGGGGTAAACTACAATGACCTGAACTGTCACCTGGGGGAAAGGAGAGGAGAGTGTCAGTGTACACCGTCATGCTGATCAACTTGGCTTTTCCACTTTTTAAGCAAGTTGGCAAAACACAAAATGATACAAATCAACTTTGGTAAAAAGTTCTGTTTGTATTGGCTTTGACGTTCCCTGTGTCTACGTACTCCGAGTCCAGATTCATAAGAGCGATTATTTGAGCAAATGAATGCTATTCAAATAATATGCCATTTGAACAGTCGGGGCTTATTCAGTGTGAATTATTTGTGTTTTATAATCCTAAACTAAGCACACATAAAATTACTGGAAAGCATCAAACTGGTCAGCTGTGAAAAATCCAATTTGTTCATTAGTGGGGGCATGGGGAGGGGGGATCAATATGCAGCTTCAACTGGAGATGCAGCACTGACAACAAAACCACACCAACAACAGAATAATCTATTAAAATCCTCTATCAGTAAATGTTACTTTTTGGGCACCGATGTGATGCACAAACATTTGTTTATGAATGTGACGCTTTATTGTTCTGGCATAAATAGACACTGCTCTCTTAGCCAGACAGGAGCGTCTTTAGAGGGCAAAACCTGTCAAATTAATCATTAGCTGGATAAAGCGCCCCGCTCTGTTTGACCTAAAAGTCTTTTTGGACTGATGGTGCACATCGAGGAACTCGACCAAAAACGCCCTTATCCTCTCTTTGCACTTCATGCACAGCTACCGGTGCGTTTGAAATCCAAACTGATCATCACAAGCATACTTACTCAAAATATCAACTATACCTGCACTTACTGAATGACAATACACTGGTGACTGTCTGAGGCTAAACGTTCCAAGTGGAAATACAATAATGCTAATCTACAGGTAGAAAATGAAGTGTCTTTATGGAGTCATTTATTTAAGCAGTACATGTCTGTGAACTTTGTTTTTAAAACACCCGACCTGCCAGTCATTCTTGGATTATGATTAATGCCAGTAAACTGAACTGATATCCTGTTCCCTTTATGTTTAAAGGTCAGTTATAGATCAGCTGCAAAATATAAATGTTATACAAGTATTGTCATAGTACTGCAAACCTGATATTAATGTTTGTATTTAATAAACCCACTGTGTGGTAGAAGGTAATCCTTTCTTTAAGTCATCACACATAAGCAGGCATAAATCATTAAGTCATAAATGGCACAGACATACGGTACCTGCCACAGAGGACTTTCCACCCGCCTAGGAGGAACCAGCCAAGGCCGCCCTGTCTCCGACTGATTCTGGCCCGGGGCAGCGTCTGGTAGTCGCTCTCATCATTCTCAAAGCCTTCCTCCGACATCATCAGAGGCATCTCATCCAGGTTAGACGGCTCATCTTCTACAGAGTATCTGTGAGAACAGAGCGCAGTAAATAAAATGCACAGCTCATGAGGACAGACTGTGCTCGGCTGGACCAACTGCTCTGGAACAACATTTTGTGTAAAGGTAAAATTATAGAAACTGTTCCAGTCTGGTACATTTTACATGTCATAAAATTCACCTAAAGATAACAATACATCAAAAAATATGTATATTAAATTATCATCACTTTCAGTTTAAAATGTAATGAATACTTAGTTACATTTCTATTCAAATTATAAAGAAACACTGAAAACCCACATAATGTCTCATTCATGATGCCCCTCTGACGAATCAAGGCCATCTGTAGCTATACAAGACAGCTTATGTCACCATAAAGCCAGGCTACGTGCACACTGACAACACACACTGTAGAGATTTATAATGTATGAAGCTTAAAGAGAAGATGCTAATTGCATACAGACATAAAGAAACTACAACACATTTAGGATGACAACGAGAGATGCATCAAAAATTGAAAATATAATCAAGCCTGGAAATATTTTTAAATATTTCTGACACTTGTTAAATAAAATTTTGCCATCCTCTACTGAAACTCAGCTAAATGTGACAGATTTAGTTGTAATGCCTACTGTAGATCACGCTGACTGCTGGGTACCAAAGGGTATCAGGTTCACGGAGCTGCTCCCTCGGTTACTATAAAGTCTAGGCAATTTTCCATTTTGAGGGTAATGCAGCTGAGAGCTTGTTAATTTTCTGTTTGCTATTAAAAAAACTGTAATAGTCACACCTGTACTATCTATCTGTAATATTTAACTGCACTCCTTTTCTTCTTGTTTCAAAAACCCTAAAAGCATGCACTGTGTTTTCTGAAGAAATTAAAAAGGCATAAGCTGATGCTGTGACTCATTCAGTACACGGTCAGACCATCTGCAATTATATGTCGAGCGTCACGATGCAGACCAACTTCCCTTCAGTTCACGGGACAGATTGTTGGTGAAGAACAAGTGAGAACCCACCTCCTGATGTGGAACATTTATTTTCACTTAATTATCAAGCAAACCAACATGTGATGTGACCCGGATGTGAAGAAAGCTTGTGCAGCACAGAGAGACGTTCGACACTAAATATTAAATATTCAAACAATAGCTGATATTTAAAAAGATCTTCAAAACAAAAACACGCGTGCCTTATTTGTAGTACAATCTGCATGTGGTGCAAATCTGGCGTCAGTCATTCTAGAATGTCTTTTCTTACCAGCAACCACTTGTTGAATGAAAACCTACTCTGACATACAGGGGTACATTTTCTTTATACACTTAGACAAATGACTCTGGCTATTGTAAAGCTGGGTGTGAGAGTGAGAGAAGGTAGTGACTGCAGCTGTGGAGACATGCGGTGAAACAAACTTCACAGCCAGACTTCTACAATAAAGACACAATGTACCTCATTCAAATTTCTCGTGTGTCCGTCACACCTGGCCAATAAAACTGATTCTGATTCTGACAATAAATACAGAATATCTTTTTTGAGTGTAGGCGCATCTATTTGGGCTCTTTACTCAAATCTAAATTAAGAAAAACCTGGAATATAAGCAACCTGAAAGGTCACTCAGTGGTACATGAAGGAGTACCACAAATAACATGGACATGTGAACAAGCATAAAGCAGGTTTGTGAGCATTAACCATCAACCCTAGTCCTCAGTGATACAGCCGTCCACAGTGGCCCAAAATGAACAAGGCTAAATTTCTGTTTCAGCAACTTTAGGTAAGGCCCAGAGAGATAATGATACTATAGTGATTAAGAGGATGTCAGATCTGAAACAAGCTGTTATCTATCCACACACCATGTGAGCAAGTGAAACAGCCAAGAGCAAGGCTCCGGCTCTGCACCACAATGATCCAGGTAAGTCCTTGGTGGTTTGTGATTACCACTTCTTAAAGAGACTCTTGAAATATGAAAATGTATTCATTTCTCACAAACCAAACTCTGACTGTTATAACAACCCCAGAAAGCATGCACTAAATAATCCTAAGTGCTACAGTATATAAAATGCAGACTCCTGTTGTTCTACTATTATGTATAAATTTAATCCTGTGTGGAAACAATTAAAAATGTATTTAGTAGAGTGGTTCCAGACCTCTGGATTCCTGTAAGCACCACAATTTTTCCAGCAAATCAAACTGTGAAATGAATTATAAAGTGAAAAGAAATGGCAATTCAGTCTGACTACAAAAGTCTGTAACATGAAATTACTGTCAGAAAGTCTTATGTCTACTGCTGCATTCTGCTGTCTAAAATAATCTAAAACAGTATTTAGTATTTATCAACAAAACTGCATTACATTAAAGATTCTGCATTGCTCAGAACAAATGACTTCAAACCAATTCATAGGTTTACAATGATATTTAAGTCTGGGGACTGGGAGGTCCATGGTAAAACATTCCTCTTATTCTTTTTAAACTATTCTTGAGTTGCCTTTGCTCTGTGACGTCCTGTGCCTTCAGAAAAACAGGTCAACTGAAAGGTTGGCAAAAAAAGAAAGAAAAAAGGACTTACTGTCTTACTGTAAACCTAAATATGGGAAGGGAGTCTACGGAGATTAGACAAACAGAATACATAAAAAGCAGGGTGAAGCAGTGCAAACACTGAGTAAAAATGGACTTGTTGGATTTGGTTCTTGATGCTTTGACCTCAGCGCTCGAGGCATCATGTGAGTCACCAGCAACCACCAACTATTCATTGATGTTTCTAAGTTTTCTTCACACTGTTGGAACCAATATTATTGGTCTCAGCCTGTGTACTGTAACTCCCACATCTGATTACATAACAACTTAGCTCTCATACCAGTGGAAACCTGGGCTGTTTTGTGAGGTCTGAAGCACTCACACGGTTGCTAACAGTTGTCCTCAGCTCTGTAACAGCACAATGTCTGACTTCCACAATCAGGTCAGGCAAGCTGACCACTTAAACATCACATGCATTTCATTACTGAGAGCAAAAGACGGGAAGAGAAAGAGGCAGGTTTTCTTACATTTAAATGGATTTTTGTAACATCATCACAACTCAAAAAGAGTTGCTTATACATAAAGGTCAACTGTACTAAACAGAGATGGGCCAAAAATAAAATTATTAAAACCACTCTTCTCATCTTCTACAATTCTGAATTGATTTTGTAATAATGTTAGTTAATAGCATTATGTTTAAAGAATAAAAAAGCCACAACTCAACCACAGGGCAGCCAAAACCTGGACAGTGTACAGGACAAACATACAACAAGTGATTGGGCGCATTTGGATTTAATGATTTAATTAGATGACAGTGATGAACAAGGTGTTGATGCTTTGTACCCCAATGTTAGTGAAGCAGAGCATCAAAATCCAGCAATGACAAACCTTACACTGCAGCACCTTACAAAACGTCAACCCACTCTTGTGTAATGAGGAAAATAATGCTGTCCTCAGTCAGAGCCCTGCGCCCACCCATATAGTATTTTGGATAACAATGGTTCTCCCTGACAATAAAGAGGGTTGTTTCTCACTGCTGGAGATTTAACGGAGGTTCAATTCAACTATTTTCATACAGGAAGAAGGCTGTAAGATGCTTTCCAGTTAATGCAATTAACAATTTTGTTAATGCAATTAACAATTTTGTTAAAGCGGCACACATTTTTCAGTGTTTTTCTATTAGACATACCCTCGTCAAGCCCAGCCGACTGTCAGTTATGTTTCATTTGCTGTTCAGTGGGCAAAGGAGAGGAGTCAGTGGTTTGGCACACAGTGCAGTGGAGCAAGAGACAGAAAATAACCCGAAATATTGTGCCCCGCTTTATTTTTATTGAACCTAGAATTGGTCTGAATTGAGAATCAAATTCAAATTGAATCAAGAGACCAATAATCAGTATTGAACTGAATTGTAAAATTAACCAAGACTCCCACCCATATGATAGATGGATATTTAAACAAATTTTTATAGTATTTTAAGTAGTAACACCTTGACTAATACGTGGTCTAGTAGCTGATCATTGGACTACTTCCTGTCTGTTCCTCAACTGAGGGCTTTATTAGCTCATCCTCATTCAATCTGAAAAATGAACAAACTGAATGAGGACTACACAATACAACAATACTTTAACATGGGAAGACTTTGGACATCATAAAGAAACCGTCATGTGACTTTAAATGAAATGCCAGAGGAGACTAAGCAGTGCACTTGTCAACAGATTAATATCACTAACTTAATGTGTCCTAATTTACATCTGAAAGAGAGATATACATTCGTGTATTGAACAAAAAGAGGCAGGTTAAACATCAGACGGGTTTTTAGCTTTTGTGGGTGACGGTGGCAGCTAACAATCAGTTATCACGGGAGAAAATGCGAAGGTGCTGTCTGCAGCTGTGCTAGCAACACAAAGCTAACAGCCAAGACCAGCACACAAACACGAACACAGAGAGCAAGCCATTCAGTCAAATTTTTACACAAAAGGCAGTTACTTTAGTAACGTTACTCAACCTAAAAACAGTCCAGTTCGTCCCTCCATACCTTGAAAGTCTGGAAGAACTGTAATACAGGATCCTCTTCGAGTTTTTCCGCACCGGATTTAAAGGGATGCTGTCAGCCATGTTGGCTGGGGTGTACACATCGTGACGTCACACTAATAACAAACGGTTAGGATTTGTGCTTCGTTCACTTATTGCTCCAAAATGTCGTTAATATAAAAGGCCTAAGTGGTTTAAGGTTATGGAGCATTGCGTGTGTCTTATCAGTTTACTCTCCGCCATTCTGTCGCACAACGTAACTCTTCAACAACGGATCTAAAAATCACGCTATTAAACAAAGAATTGTTCTACTTACTTAAACTAGGCCCAGTTGAATATACTAATTGAAAGTGTAGGCTTTCCAGGAGCCCATGAAGGAGGCATATGTGGTCCATTTCCAAACGACATCACGATCACTGTGGTCAGGTAATGGTTTCTGATGAAATAGGACTGAAGCCTTAACGAGATATATTTTGCACAGCACACGGTGTCACGCATATTAAGACCAATTACAGAACTGGAAATGAATTTAGAAGACTTATTAGCTGCTAAAACTGAGAAATGCGGTTGAAAGCGTGAAAAATATATTAAGTGAACATTTGAGTTGATGCAGTTTATTTACTTAGTTTTTGTTTTGCTTTTTAAGAGTTTATCGTCTTCTCTAACCTCACTCATTTTCTTGTCAACAAATCTACAGCTGAACACTTTGGTCATCGTTAGCATTATCACTAACCTATTAAAATGTTAATCAGTTAAATGGAATTGAACATTTGTTTAGACAGATATCATAAACTTTGGAAAGATAACAAGAATAGTCAAAAATGGATTTGAACTAATTGGTGCTTATGCCAACTTTCACAGAATGAAAACTGATTGCTGTGCAAATTATTGTCACTAGGAAAGACAGAATATAAAGGATAACCTACATGTAATACATGCATTTGTATTTTGCCTGAGTGCACATTTGTACATGCTTGAACACTCCTGTTATATACTGGGAGTCAATTTAGGAGGTAAAAATCAAAAATATCGAAGATGAAGCTAAATGAAATCAAAGAGGTTGATCCCTATTGGATTTTGTACTTCTGTGTAATTCCTATGACATAACGTAAAATGAAATCAAGATAAGTAATCTCTTATCAGTGTTTACACAAAGCAAGGTAGTGAACTGAACATACAGGCTGTTTGCTTTAGCTTTTATTTGTTCCAGTTGTTTAAGAATGACAGTTTCTCACCATAACACTGACAACCGATTACTGCAGGTCATGGGTTTTTATGAGGATATTTGTGCTGTGCACCAGTGAGCAGCATTGAGCAGCTGTCCGGAGGAGATAGCAGACTCTTTGCATTATTGATTTGAACATATGCTTCCTTCTTCAGAGCAACCATATGTCTAAGCACCGTAGAAATGTTCCGGTAAAAGTTAAAACACTTTATTTAATGTATAGAGAAAAAAAAACATTCACAAATGACTGCAAAGTAAAACAGCAAAATGTGAATACACTCTAATCTCTGTTCATTGATAAAAAGTTCTTTTTTAAATCTATAATACATAAAAGCAAACAAAACATTTTACAAATATTTTAACATCCATAATAGTTTGCATAAGTATTTCATCAGCATTCAGGTTTATTCAGTTGATTCCAATTTCTTTGCTGTCATCAATCAGCATAGCAAAATGTCTGTTATTTCCCAGGTCCATGCCGGTTTTAGTTAGACTGGTTATTGGACTTGCTGCAGTGCTCACTCTGTCAATGCCTGCAGTCAGAGGGTGAAGCTGAGAGATGCCTCTGCTCTGAATCACTGCAATCTCATTGTTCTTCATGGCCAGGCCATTGGTGAAAGCTGTCACATAGCGGTTCCAAAATCCAGGATCTACATTCAGAGCTCGAGCTGCCAAGTCCTTTTGAAACATCTCCTCAAACTTCAGAGCCTCTCCACCCAGCAGGGCCATGGGGTTCTCCACCGACAGCCGCCGGCCTCTCCTAGCTGGGGCATTGTTCCACATGTGAGTTCCCATATGAACCTGAAAATAACATGTACAGCAAGACATTATATTTGATGAATGTTTTTATAACTAAAGGCAAACTTGTTTAGCATGGATGGTCCCAAAAATATCAAGCGCACTACACTAAAGAATTTGGTACCGTTTTCTAGCCATTGAACTCTGCATTCAATACTACATACTCTAAAATATCCATTATCCAGATACTAAAATACATAACATGCCAGAGTTTGAACTGTATGAAGTGACTGTTAATATTTCTAGTTGGAAAGTCAATCAATGTTAAATACACATGAAAAATGAGTAAAAAAATAGAGACAACACAGCCAGAGAGTTACAAAACAACCTCATAACCAAAAAGATAAAATGTGACTAAAAACTGAAACACAAATCACAAAAAGTGACCAAAATAGTCAAAGCGCTCATACAAAGCAAAATAGTCACAACTAAAAAAAGATGCAAAATGATTAAAATAGCCACAAGAGACACAAACCTTTCAGTCTGCCGGTCTTCCTCCTATATAGGGGGCCTTTTACATGTTTGTGCCTAGGGGGCCCATGTGTCTCATATTCCATGACACATGGAATAAACAAACATCATAGGGCACAGCAACATGCTTGTGCTTCAGTGCCCATGTTGTGCTAAATTCTTATTAACTTAGCTTTATAGGCTTTTATTTTAAAGGGTACATGTTAAAACTTCTTGTGATTTTTTCTTAATTTTCTTGCATTATCTAAAGTGTAAATTTATTGTTATGAAAATAAATATGCTGTAATAAAAGTGTCAAACATGTTAAAAGAGGAATGTTCTGTGTTTTAACAGGAAGTTTGACAAATCTTTTTTAAGCTTTATTTTGTCCTTTTATTTTTGTGAATGTTTTGTTTCTTTAGCGTTCCAGGTAGGTGATAATATATATAGTGCCTTGCATTAAAAAACTTAACTACAACACAGAGCATTAGGCCAACTACACTTGTAATGGAAGCAGGTAAAGTAAACAAAGATTTAATTTTGAAATGTATTGATTATTTATTTGCTTATTCGGCTGTAGTTGTGGAGGACCCTGCATCCTCACGACTGGTCAAAATCTACCACAAAATGTGTCAACCACCAAAGCCATATATTGCCTTGAATCCAAACAGCACAATAAAAAAAGTCCTTTATCTACCTTCAGATTGCCTTTAGTTGTGAAAGCTCTGCCGCAGATGGAGCAGACAAACGGTTTCTCCCCGGTGTGTGTGCGCTCATGGATCTGTAGAGCACTGGCTGAAGAGAAGTTCTTCCCACAGACATTGCAGTTGTGCTGCTTTGGTGTTCGTCGAGGGAGCACAGGGCCAAGGAGGGAGGCCATTCCTGGACTGCCAACTGATGGATATGCAGCAGGGGCATGCACGCTAAACGGCGGGGGGCGACCTCCGGTTGGGTTGTTTGGCAGACTGTGACCATTCACTTCAGTTTTTATCTTGCCTAGTGATGTGCTGGAAACCAGGCTGGGAATGCTTTGACCTGCAGCTGAAATGAGAGTGCACAAGCGTGAAGGATACTTCCCTTAAACTGCAACATTAATCTAATTTTCAACAACTAACTAAGACATTCAGAAAAGAAAGCTATTTTATGGAAGTTCTGATAATTTCACCAATTGAATACATGACATGATCAGTGCACCTCTTTCTCTGCACAGCTGGAACAACGTACTGTACGGCGTCTCCTCTTTCACACAGAGCCTACTGGGTTGGATCCTTTTTAGCTCCTGCACTGCTGCAGCTGCTGATGCAGAGGTTGGAGACTCAGATTGCTCTCTCTTCACTGAGGCTGCCAAAGGCTCTTGGGATTCTGGCCTGTTGTTGTCCACTGTAGGCGATTTGATCTTCATGCCCTCTGAGTTGCTTTGAATAGGAGACACTGATACATGAGGTGAACAGGAGGATTCAGGCACACTTGGGCTGTTTGCTCTGAAATTCTCCACCTTATTCTCTGATAAAGTGCATTTAGTATTGACTTGGCTGCTGTCATTAAAACCATTTGCCAGTGATTTTAAATGGAAGGAGTGGTTTAGGCTTACAGTAGAGTCAATCATCCTCATTTGGTCCTCCAGAGATGCTTTACTGGAAACAATGGTAGAGGACTTAGGAGGCGAATTACAGTCAGAGCTCAAGGATTTAGATGGACTCACACCTTCCTCTATAGTTTCCATTTCCTCTTCCACATTTTCATCCTCCATTGAAATATCATCAGTGAGGTCATTGCCATTGCTGTGCAGACTGTCAAAGTTCTTCTCATTAACAGAGATATTGACATCTATTTCCTGCAGTCCACCCACAAGCGCTGAGTCTGGAATCTGCCCAACCATGTGCAGGCGGATATGCTGCTGCAGAACAACAGCGTTGGTGAACTTCTTCTGACAAATAGGACACGAGTGATGCACCTGAACTGGAGGATTTTCTCTGTGAACACTGATGTGAGTCTTCAGATTACCTTTAGTGGTGAAGGCCCGGCCACACACTTTGCATTTAAAGGGCCGCTCGCCGGTGTGAATGCGGTAGTGCATCTTCAGTGCACTTTGACAGCTGAGGATGCGGTGACACAGGACGCACTGGTTGGGGTCTTTAATCTTTTTGTCAATATTTTCCACTAGCTGCTGAAGCTTTGAGGTTTCAGATGTTTCCGCAGAGTCCAGGAAGCCCCCCGATGGGAATTTAGGTTCCTCTGAGTTTAATGAGAGGGGTGGAGAGTTGGAGGCAGGGGAGGCTGAGGTGACAGGCTCAGGTGTGGTTGACACAGATGGGATCGTAGTGCTGGTTGCCTCTGTTATTGCACTGGCTCTCAGGCTCAGGGAGTAGCTTTGTGGCAGGGGCACTACTTCTGTTTTCAGTATATTCGATGCTTCTGTCTCACTTCTTCTGTCTGAAAAAGGAGAGAAACGAGCCTCGCTGCTTCTGTGGTTAGGTGACAAAGACACACATGCACCAGGCGCCAGCTGGTAGGGAGATTTAATGGATGGTGTTACACTTACAGGGTCATTTGAGCCTTCAATACTGGTAATAGTGGAAGAAAGAGGAAGACCCATGGTGGCTGGCACAGTTGCTACAACAGGTTTGTTATCCAGCCAGGAGGAGACAGTTTTTTCTGGAGGGATGGACAATCCATAGGGAATCCCAGAACTTGTTGGCACATTGTCTAGATATTCTGGCACAGGGTAGGGATTCATCTGAACATGAGGGTACTTCTCTTTATGCCTCTGGAAGTGCACCTTTAAGTTCCCTTTCGTAGAAAAGCGATTGCCACAGATGTTGCATTTGAAGGGTCGCTCCCCTGTATGGGAGCGCAGGTGGATCTGCAGAGCGCTGTCACTGCCAAACACTTTGGCACAGAACCTGCATTTATGCTTGAAGAAGGGCTCGTCTGGGCTGGGCTTCATTTCGAACAAGGACACATTAGGCAGTTTCCCTTTCCTGTGCTTCATCAGGGCTGCAAGAGGGTCAAGTGCATTAGTTGTGGCGGCAATGCTAGCCAAGGGATTGGGGAAAATGACGCTCCTGGGGGGGCTCTGAGGTAGAAATGGCAGACTGGAGGATGAGCTGAGGAGGCTGCTCTGCCCCAGGGACAGTGGACTGGACGAGCTCAGTGTCTGAGTGCAGCTAATGCTACTGGTGTGTGAACCTGTGTAAGGAGGAAGTAATGTGGAGCTGCTGCTGCTGCTGCTGCTGCTGCTGCTGCTGCTGCTGCTGCTGCTGCTGCTGCTGCTGCTGCTGCTGCTGCTGCTGCTGCTGCTGCTGCTGGAGAGAGATGGGGTTGGATTTTCTGTGGAGGCTGGGGTACATCTAACATCTTTAAAGGTGGACTGCCCACATACAGTTTGTGAGGGGGTATTTTGTGACTTTTCTAGCACAGATGACAAAGAAACAGCAGCTTGTCCATTAATGTTGGAGGGTATTGTCCCTGACAGAGGCAAGATGGGAGGAGGGATGATGCCTTGAGTGGGGAAAGGGTTATGCGCCAGAGACAGGGATCTGGAAACCGGGTTTAATGCAGCTTGTGTTGGCTGTCTGTTCATGATGGCTACCTGGCTGCAGATCTGCTCAATAAGCTGCAGCTGGTGGACCTGTTGCTGCTGCAGGGCCAGCAGGTGCTCCAGGATTGCAGGGATGGCTGCTGAAGCTGCCTTCCCTCCTGTACCACTGCTGTTGATCCCCTGGGAGAACTGGGCAACAGCCACCCTGGTGCTGTGAAGGATCTCCAGAGTTACATTTGTGCTTGGCATGCTGTAGCTGCCAGCTCCTGACATCCGTGGAGAGGTGGACTGAGCTGAATCTGGAAGCTGAGGGCTGGAGAGTGTAGTATATTCGTCCTGCGGACGATGCTCAAGTTCCATGGCATCTTCCCGCTCCCTGTCTTCCTCTACATTTCCCAGACTGTCACTGTCATTCACCAGCGCCTCTCCCAGCTCAAAGCCAGCATCTGTGGACTCTGCTGCAGACAAGTCACTGGAAACCATGCTAGGAACCGGAGAGGCTCCCATAGGAGACTCCTCAGGAACAGGCTTCCCTTTATTGTCCTTAACTATCAGCACCAAGGGATCCTCAGTGCACACTTTCTGATGGTCGCTCAGTTCAGTCCAAGTGATGAACTCAGCGCAGCATTTGTCACAGATGTGTGTTTCTTCACTACTCTGCCACTCTCCATTGATCTCCTCTCTCTCCAGGCCATCAAGGATGCCTGTAAAAGAAAAAAAAACATGATTGTGAATGCAAAATTGATAACTTACTGTCCAAATATTTCCAAATATTTCACCAAAGGGACATATTTCCATTAATCAGATTTAATCCCCACACATCCGCAAGAGATCCAAAGCTGTCCACGGATAACAAACATGTCAAACTGAAGTACAAGGTTTTTAGGAAATGATGCAAAACACCAATAGCAGCAGACAGTATATACATGTATGTAAAATTGTAATACAGTATGGAAAATATTTTTGAAGCCAAATAAGGGAAAAATTCTAGTGATTTAACTGCAAATAACATCCACTTACTGTATATGGGAATAGCACTCTCAACCACCTAAAAGTTTACAGCTGTGGAGCACTCGTGCAACTATGTTAATGTTTAATGTATGCTATGAGTTTAAAACTTTAAATTCAACAGGGGCCATAAAAATTAAAAGTGTTGACAAAGGCTTTCAACTCACACCCCCTGTTTTCAGAGAAATCAATGAGGTTCATCAAAGTTATCTGACCTCTCAGCTGTGCATTCAGACAGATAATGAAATTCCATACAGTATATTGATTTTTTGCGCATTCATACATTTCAGTAATGTGTCTCATCGTCAGTCAAAAACAACACTTTGGTTAGAAAGTACAACATTTTATCTTTACTGGACTCAGATTAAAGAACCAGGGGTTCATTGCATCAGGGCAGCTCAGATCATGAAAATTAAGCTTATTTTGTTTTTATGCTGTAAATCGCTGTTGTTTTATAACCCAAGGAGTTTGAAACACATTTGGTTGTATCTCTAAAAATTGCCTTATAGAGCACGTATTGCTTTTCTAACTCATTTTAATAAAACTCATTTCTTTTAGTTTGACTCATCAGTTTCCTTTTTTGCTCTTTCATTGATGATGTGTGATGTTCTTTGTCAAAAGACTTTACAATTTAGAATCACTCCTGCATCTGTTCAGGCTTTGCCCCATTAGGAAAGAGACAGCTATACCAGATGGAACAATTTGGGGAAATCAATAGTAAATTATTGTTACATATTCTCAAGCTTCCCAAAGAAATTTCTGAATAACAATTTTAAAAGAATCAAAGGGTAAAAGGTGACTATTATGATGTGCAGACATGACTACGAAATTAGATTTTGTTTTGATTCTGTATTTTTTTCCAAACATTTTTGTAAACGATAATTTATTTATTTTGTGACTAATAATTTGTCTGTCTGTCTAATGTAACTTAAATGTACACGTGTTAATGCTGGATTTAACTTGAATGTGTATGTGTCCACATAGTTTGTTTGTACGCTTGTGTCCAAGTGTATTCACACTGACAGGTATCGCTACTGTACGTTTCGCTACATGAAGGAATAAGTCTCAGTGTGATAAGGCTAAACACTGAGAGACACGTTTGATATATTAACAATTGTGCAAATCAACAAATCCTTATGGAAACACACTATGAGAAAATAAGTTAGCAAATACATTACTTGAAGTTGATTATAACATGTTTCAGTGTTATAATCAGGAGTGTAACTAAAGTGGAATGAGTGAACCCCCCCGAAAGTCAAACTCGTCACAAGCAAATAACCAGAGTCCTTGTTCGCCAAGTGGGTGGTCTGAAGATCACCAAGGCGATTCAGCAAACACAGGAGCGAAAACACCAGCTTGGGGTTTCGTCTGGGCTTTGTAAGATTTACTTACATTAAAAACAAAGAAAAGATCACTTTCTGATTTAAAGTTCTGAACATATTTCCAAATATAATAACGCTGATAGAAATGTATTTAAAAATGTCACCCTCACTCAGCACATAATGATCCAAGCAGAAAACAGATTTATGTCTGTTTCTTGCTGGTGGTTTGGCCATGAGAGGAGAGAGGAAAGAAACAACAAAGCTGCACCCGAAAAGCATACAGACTGTTAGCCTCTCTGTGTGACCTCTGGGCTTCAGAGGTCACTGGTTCAGATGTACTAATTGTATTTAATTGTATTATGATTCAGACATGGAGCACTTGCCCCTCGCAGGGTGAGGCTGACAAAGGTCAAGTCAGCAGGCTCAATCAAAGCCCATCTGAGAGTAGCGGAGCCCCCCCGCCTGGCAGAGGGGTTGTGGGAGGGCCCGAGTCAGGAGGCCTTCTTCCACACTCTACACCTTTTCACAGCCACAGATAACAATAAAGTGACACATAATTTTAGTGCAAACATGGAGCAGGACGCTTGATGGTAAAGATTGGAATTAATGCATTAAATTGGCTTGGCCATGACAGGCCTTTTGCTTTATGGATGGAATAACAAAGTCAGCATTAATATAATAAACAGAGATGTGAAATGAATCATGTTACATAACAATAATTTAGAGTGGTTTGGATTTAAAACTTAGTAGGATATAGAACCATTTATTCTGAGATGTTACAAAACATTTAGAGAACACACACCAAACTTAATTTTATAGTTCTGTCAACTTTGGATACATTTAAAATATAAAAGTACTGATCTGAGCTTGTGCTCAGCTGTTACTGCTGATTACGTGGTTCAAATAACATCCAAGCTTTCCCACAGTTACTGGAGGAGCAAATGAAATTGTTTAATTAAATATTAAAATATAAGAAAGTATGTAAGGCTTCTGGTGTATCATATTATAGGCTGGTAATATTATTTAACAAATGGGGATCTGGCTAAAAATAATATGGAAAATAGTGGTTAAAAATCGTTTTATACACTCTTGGCCAAACATTAAGATGAATAAATACTGGTTCTTATTAATCTTTTCATATTTACCATAGTATTTCTACTGAATATACAAGACAAATAAATCAAGCATTTCCTTAAACTACAGACGTCCCTATGCTTGTAAATACACTATTATGATCATAAAAATAATTACAAACACATGCTACTTTCCTTAAGAATACTTTTCATCTCCTGAATGTAAAAGCTTATCAAAAATGGAGAACGTTTTAATATTTGACAGGAAGGCCTCAAGCCAGAAAAACAGCCTCAAACATAATTTGCAGAAATAAAACCCTTGACCTAAAATCTTTCCTATTTCTATGGGGTTATTCTCTCTTTGGATGGATTTTCACCACAGGCCCTGTTTCTACAGCGGCCCCTAAAACTGTAAACATGAATGAAATTTAATTATGAAAATTGTTTTGTTTACACACGATGTGCCATCCTGTTCTATTGTTGCAGCACTGTCTGTAAACTATATCTGTATAGAATTTATGCAACAAATCTGAATCATATTTCTAATAAAACATAATTAAAATAATAAAATTGAACAGTTTAATTTCCTTCTCCCTACCTGATGATGAACCTTTTTATTATAGTTTTAGACTAACGGTGCTTTATTTGGCAGACTTCAAACATCAACTGTGAAAACTAAATGTAAAAATAATTAAGTGGCGGGTAGAAACAGGAAACCAAACTAAATCAGTTCGTCGTCAGTTTCACGTGCAAAATAGTTTGCCCAAATAAATAAATAAAGTCTCGCCACCACTGTAAGTTTTGTCATATACTTAAATACGTTAAAACCCTTTGGATCGAGCTGTTCTTACTCGATACCGGTGTTCCATTATCTACAGCTGGAGTAACCCCAGAAAAAGTCGTTTAAAAGCTGCCGGACACCTACTGTTTCTGCAGAGGAGTCCAGTCTGTGTCGCCTCTTCATCTGACTTCAGCTGCTGCGGCTTGGCTTGCTTGCGGCGGGACATGTCGAGCTTTCTGTGCGACTCGCTGCTGCCCTTCGCTGAATCATCTACAAGCAGCGAATGGGACCTTTCAGAAGGAGCGAGGTCGGTGAAATAAGTGAACGGTGTCTGATGTTGATGCCCGTGTGCAGATTGCGCATGTCAGTGTGATTATGATGGAGGAAGGATAATGCTTTGACGACTCTCTCTGCCCTTCGGTGGGTGATTGGCTGCGATCCAGGCAACTCACACTAGATATGGAAATGAGGGATGGGGTTTGATAATAATTAGTTCACTTCCTGTCCGGTGCGCAACTGCTTTTACGCACAACTCCCAGCAGTTCCAACATCACTCAGTCCGACATGAATTCCCGTTAGTGTTTCGTGCGTTTTGGATAAGTCTCTGTGGCCAGATGCTGCGTCTTGTTATAGTCAGTTCAGGCCTAAGGTTGAGCTGCTTCCGTTTTGAGCTCTTGAATTAGTTTGTGTCAGAAAAGACGCTCCAGTTTGACCTGACTTGTAGGGCTGTGAATGGATGGTTGTCCCGGTTGAATCTCTCGCCTCAGACACATCTAAAACAGCAGAGCAACCCTGGCAGGAGCAATTGTCCCACCACAGGAGGACAGGCTGTATGTTGTCTTCTACCGCTGCGTAAAGTCTAGAATCGGCGGATTAAAAAGCGAATAATCTCGAACTTTGTGCGTAAAAAGCTCGCTTAGGTCGCAGAGAGGTCCCATCTCAAACTGGTGGCTGTCGGAAGTGAGGCTCCCTGGTTTGTCCGAGGCACCGACACGCTCCTTGTTGCCTCCGCCTCCAGTGCATCATAACCTGCTCTGCAATAGGCTACTGCCAGGATACCACAGGAGGTGTTGGAGCCTTTGCTTCATTTGTTACGACCTCCCACAATTTGGCGCCATAATAGACTGGAAAATGTCCCTGGAAAAGAACTCTTTCTTTGAGATATGTGGTGGGTAAACCCGTCTGAACTCTGCTAATATTTAAGTGTTTTTAAAAACTAGTCTTACTAGACCTTTGTGTGTGTAGTTTTTGTACAAGTTTTAGTGGTTGTGATGGACACACAACCACAAACTACAGGTCATAGATGTCATCTATTATTTCTCACTACAGCTATCCCCAAACAGTCAAAATGATCACTGGAACCAAATATCAGATCCTCCACATCCACAGACTAGCACAGAGAAGAGTGAAGCATGCTTCTCAAGAGCTATAATCCCTCTTCACAAGGCATTGTCCCAAAACTTGTAATTATGTGGTATAAAAAGCTGCAGCTGGGGGAGGACAGAATCAGCTGTTGATAATTGCAAATACTACACAACAGCCTGCTATTGATCGGTATGTCTCCTATTCCCCTGCTATGGAAAGATAAGGAGGCCCCACTCCTGCTGGAATATAATTTCTTCTAGCCTATTAGGTTTCTACAGACTTATGATGAATAGCCAGAATGGCCAAGAGTGCTTATCTGGAAACTCAACCCTCCTTGATTTGATATTGATTCTTTGTAACAGCATTGGCACACAAAATCAAACTAGGAACTACTTGACCATGATCTCTTCCAGATTGTAACTTGGCCTACACCAGTGTAGGCTCCACTCCCAGCCCAAAGAACCACTTGAATTGAATTACAGTGTACACCTGTTTGAGGAACAACTGTATCAATTTCTATTGATTAGTATGGTGAGCTATGGAAATTAATGAGGCCAATTCAAGTTAAATAAAGCATGTTCAACAATAAATTGCTCTAAATCCAGCCTTTCAGTTTATCTTGCAGTGCTTCAGAGAGTACAGTACCAGTCAAAGGTTTGAACACACCTTCTTATTCATTGGTTTTTCTTTGTTTCTACACTATAAATTAATATTGATGACATCAAAACTATAAAATAGCTCATATGGAATTATGTAGTATACAAAAAAGTGAATAAAGCAAAGTATATTTAAAATTTTTGATTTTTTTAGCCAACTTTTGCTTTTGATTGGTACTATAAATGAGTACACCAAAAGTATATACATTAAGAGGAAATAAAAGGGATATCTGTTTTACAAAATAAGACACACTGAAAACTGCCCATAGTGAGATTACTAACCACAATAAGTTGTCATACATAAACAATAAACCCTGCATTTGTCATTGTCTTCCAAAACCTCATTGGTGCCTTTTAAATGATGTCATGCTTCTTTTACCTTTGCATCTGAAAGAGAACAGCCATGATCAGAACAACCACAGTCAGTCGAGTCCTTTATCGGGGTTATCGTGCACATTTGAACAAAACAACCGATGTTATCATTTTTTCCCCTCATCTGGCACTTTGGTTTGTTTGGAAGGACACAGTGGTGTTGACCTCTTCAAATGCCATTTTTCGGTGCTCTGAGCCAACCCAGTATCCCTAGAAATTACACTCCTACTGGACAAACCACACAATTCACCTCCAGTGCTAATGTAACAAATGGTGTTCCTGTTGTGTGTCAAGGCAGGATGTATGGGCGTGTTTGTCGGATTGGTAGTTTTAACTTCTATGGGGACAACTGTAGTTTGCATCCCATCAAACTACAGTAACAGATGTTACAGGCAGGTGTTTTAAAATGCAACCGCTGTCATCCTGCTCAACCATTGCAATGTGCAAATACTATAGAAAGAATGAATTTTTTAAATGCTGGCATTGGATGTAATTGGATTGAAAATTCACCTTCATCCACCACAAATGATAAGTGTGAAATAGTTTCTTTTTGACATTTAGGGGAGCTGACCCTTTAATGTATATTTTGGGAATTTGGTTTCTCAAATTGCCAAGATAACCATACCTAACGGTAAGAAGACCAACATTGAACGCCACAGGCTACAGCTTCACTTTGTACCTTATGGGTCTATGGAACCTTGTGCTTCATTTGATTTACTTTTCAATGAAACCAACTGGATAATAACAATTTTTTAGTTTAAAATATCTTTCCTCTGAGGGGCTTCAAGGTGGCAGTCTGTTTAACCCTCCACCACCGGCACCACGCTACAAAATAGATCTAAAAGAATTACACTCATTCAGGCTGTTTCCTCATATAATCACACAAAGATGATCATAAATCACAAGCTGGATCAATACAGCAGACCCAGGCTGCACTAGCCTGATAACACAATCAATACAGGGTATTTGGATTTTAATTAATACATGGCAGCGCCTCAGCTCTGAAACAATAAAATATGACCTCAGGGCCCTTTTAAAATACGGCGTGTAGAGCATCACAGACGGCCTGATACCTGCTACATCTCATCTGATGCTGATGTGATCCGGTACCCGAGGACCTGAGGAGACAGGGAGCTGAGAGGAAGAGGACAGAGAGTGAGAGACAAGAAAATAGACACATATTTGCACCAGAAGCAGGTAAAACAAGACAGAGTTTCCAGTCACTAACAGCTCTGTGAAGATCCAGTGCTTTGAGTTAAATCCCAACATTAGCATGCTCACAGTGGCAACGCTACATACTGCTACTTAGAAAGTGTAATGTTTCCCACTTTCACCACTTGCTAGCATGTATTAATTAGCACTAAAAACACAGATCAGATGAGGGGTTGTTTTTTGAGGCAAAGCATTGGACACATTTAAAATTTTGACCCAATGGCTGCTCTAGATGAGCAAAATATCAGTGGATCACCAAAGGTACAATTCACCCTGAGAAGGACATGAATATGTATCCAATGTCAATGGGAAGAGCCAGGGAATGGCCAGGGGTGGCACCAACCTGTGGTGCCCCAGCCTGGCCACCCTTTCAAAAAATTCTCTATCCATCCCTGCAAATGTTACAATAATCCATCCAGTAATGCGATACCTACTGTTACATGTATAAACACTAGAAACTACAACTGTCCACCTCAGAGAAAACATCAGGGGATCACCAGACTAGTTAGGATTCATCATCTTGGAACCAGGAA